AAACGTGAGAGTGTGGATGTGGGAGTGAGCTGTGTATGTGCATGTCCACAAAAAGAAGATACTCACCCACACCGGATACGAATGTTCAGAATGCAATGCAGGCTTATGCATGCCAAATTGTTTTCGAGATTATCATACTTTGAAAGTATATTAATAAACTTGAATGAAAAATAGAATTAATCAATTCTTGAAATTTTGTTTTTGTTTTATCAAAAAAAAATAATCCCGTCCTGAAAGGGGTTAATATAATCCCGCTTATATTTGTCAATAGTTCTTGTTTTATTTTGGATAATTATTTCCAATCTTATTATATTTTAAAAAACGCAAAATATTAATTATCGAATTTATATTGTAATGACTAATTATATGAATTATATATAATGCCTGTGTAGACAATAAGTCGAAAGAAATGCTTATCTGATCAAATAGGTTTTTATGCTATATAACTTTTATTGATGAATTATTACTCAGCAAATAAATGATTTGATTAGAAAATATCTTTATGATATTCGAAAGATCTATACATTTAATACGTTCTAAAAATAACAAACTGAACATGTAGTAGAAAATAATATCAAATAGGAATAACGTATTCTATTTACGTGTATCTCTTTTTGTAATCTGAATATAAATCGATAAAATATAGTAAACCTAAAATCAACAATCTATTAGATATATGGATCACTAAAATAAAATTAGATCTACTATTATATTACAAAAAAGACAACAAATTACATTTTCCGTTTGTTGTATTAATTCTTATATTAACCATTGAATCGAATGCTGGCATTTTGTCACTTTTAGATTTCTTAAAAAGAATAAATATAATTTAAATTTGAAATATAACACTAGTCAAATAATCAACTAAATTACATTCACAATATAGCCAATCAAATGTCAGCTGCCAATAAAGCTCGTTATATGTATAATCTTCATAATAACCAATACATGTCATTTCATTATATAGTTAGTGACCTACAAGTTTTTCAACTATTGTCTGATATAGTATTTAAATATTAATGATTCTGTATCTATAGAATGAGATTAGCTTTGGTTTTTTTTTCTAGTAATGACTAACATGCGATGATGATAGTGACGAAAGTAAATTTACCATCGATTGCTATAAAAATTGCTTATTCAACAGCAGAAAATGTCGATATTTATAATCAGACTCTTGAGAATGGGCTTTGTCTAGTAGTACGATTATGAGAACACTTCAAATTACATATTAATCAACTTCATAAATATTAAGATTGAAATATAAAGTACTGTTCACATGACACTCTCCATCGTTATAGCTACGTTAATTTTATCTATCTTCTTCAAGAATCAATGCATATGATTTACTACTAAAAGATACAAAACAAAGATGTCCATGAAAATAAATAGACACAATCAAATGGCCGGTGGAAAAGGATTTGCAACACGTGCAACTAATAACTTTTGTTGATGTATAGTGGCAGGCAAAAGTTTAGAGCAGCTGTGTTGTCAAGTTTTCTTCTTGATGGTAATCGCTAGCTAGAATCTGAAAAAGGCATTTGTATAGCTTAAAGGAGTCTCTATCATGATTGGTGGACCTAAAGACTTCAACAAAACTGCTTGAATAAGGATCTGCAGAAAGCCAAGAACCTCAAAACTAGTTTTATGATTTTCACTCGCACGTTTGGGAAAAGATTTTATTTAATAGACCAAATGATTCTCAGCAAGATGAGACCTCCACGACCTCCCTTCATCGAACTGTATTCAATTTATTGAAGACTCCAAAACATCAAAAACATTGAAATTTTCAATAAAAATCAGAGAAAAACACTTTTTGGACTTTCTGTAAATTGAATGCAGTTCGATGGAGAACGGTCATGGGGAGATCGGGGAATGTCTCATCTTGCTCAGAATCATTTGCTCTACCAAATAAAATCCTTTCCCAAAAGCTTCAAATGGAAGCCAGAAAACTGGTTTTGAAAGGCTTAGTTTTCCGCAGATCTTCATTCAAACAGTTTTGTTCGAGTCATATGGCCTATCAATCCTAATAGATAACCCTATCAGTTACACAAATACTTTTTTCAGATTCTTGCTAGCTATTATCATCAAAAAGGAAACTTCAAAATACAACTCATGTTTGACATTATATTTTATATTATCACATCTAATCCATATTATAAACTTATATAAATAATTATGTTTTCAGTTTACTTAGATATTCTAGAATTGTTATAGATTTTATGCATTATTAATTTTTAGTCGAAGTGATAATTAAAAGTGTTTCATGACTCCTTCATGATAACCCTTTCAGTCTCATAGTAGTAAAAAAGCTACAAAATGTTTTACAATTATTTTTCATAATATAATTAATAAAAATTGGTACTTAATCTCTTGGAATGAAGCAATGGAGAACGCTCTAAGATCCTCCCAAACAATCTATAACGGAGATATATAGTTGTTCATTGAGAAAGTTCTGAAATGTTCTCAAATATTTCTTCAAAAAAGATATATATAAGGCGTCGTTTTCGGCCAATCCACATCTCCAAAAATTAGCGTGCCACAGGAACAAAGCACCGAATTCTTTCCTAGTTTACTTCAAAAGTACAAGTTGTCTCGGCAACAGAAGCAAATGTATTCTGATCAAGAAAGTAATACAAGCGACTCATCTTTTGATGACAAAAATGATTCTTATGACGAACACGCAAGTGATCTTGAAATAGATGAAGCAGACGACGCTATTGGAAATGAAAAGGAAGAAGAACTTGAGTGGAATTGAAGCCAGAACTTTATTCAAAACACACGCAACTTTTCTTTCGAAAGAAGTTAAAGGACACACAATTATAACTTTTACTAAAAACATCAAGCCAATTGACACCTTCAACAAGTTTTTCACAAGGAATATTAATGATTTCATAGTAAAGCAAACAAATATTTATGAAGAGCAAAAATCTTTAGCGAAGGAGTCTGTAAGTGACTAGCAAAAAGTTAGTGAAAGTGTTATCCATTCTTTTCTTGGTTTACTAATCATTATGAGCTTACATCGATTACCTCAAATAAGAGATTATTAGAGTAGAAATAAAATATTCTACACAGAAGTTGTTGTCAATGTTATGCCGAGCAACGAATTCTACCGAATATTTTCTGTATTACATTTATCAGATAATACAAAACAAAATCAATTAGCAAAAAGTTCAAAGGAATTCAAATTCTTCAAAATCTTCGACTTCATTTGCTTACTGAGAAGGAGCTTTCAAGAAAACTTTATTTTGGGAACCAACATCTGCATTGATGAAAGTATGATCAAATTCAGAGGAAGAAGTTTTTTGAAGCATGATATACTATTGAATCCGATCAAAAGAGGGCACAAAGTGTGATGTTTAGCAGATTCTTTGACCGAATATCTTTATCATTTCTACATCTCTACTGGTAGACAAGAGAATAGACAGAGAACATTGGATGAAGATGTTGTTTTACAGTTTATTAGCAAAATCAATGTAGTAGAACACTAGCTATTTTTTGACAACTATTCTTCTATTATGACAATCATAAAAGATAAAAATCGCAGCAACTGGAACAATAAGAACACATAGAAAGTTATTTCCTGAATAACTTTTACAAAAAGATAAATTAGAAAGAGATGAATGTAAATACTACTCTTCTAACAGGATATCAGTTGTCAAATGGCAAGACAAGAAACCTGTGTTTATTGCAAGTAATTTCTTTGATCCAAGAAAAACTGAAACGATTACTAGAAGAGAAAAGGATGATCCAAAACAACTTGTTATTTGGCCCCAAACGATAGCTGAATACAACAAGTTCATGCATGATGTAGATTTATTTGATCAACGAATCTCTTGTTATTCAATTGACAGAAAATCTACGCTAAACTGGATTTGTATATGTATTTACTTTCTTCTAGCCAGTCTTTCGAATGCATTCTTCTGTTACAATGATCTGAGTCAACAAAAAATGACTTACGTTACATTCTTTTCTTCTATCTCAATGTCACTAATTGATGATCAAAATTCACGGAAGAGAAGAGGCAGACCTATTCACTTTTCTGCCAGAAAGGAAAAACAAATTCAACAAACGTTGGGGAACAAATCTTCATCAGCTCAATTATTAGTACATATGCCTGTTGTTGGATCTCAAGGAAGATGCAGATATTGTTGTACGAGAGTTTCTTCTGTGTTTAGTAGCATAAAATGCAGCTTTTGTGACATTTCTCTTTGTGTAAAAACAATAAAAATTGTTTTTTGTTATTACATGAAAAACTTGTATACGTTTTGCAAGTAATAAACTTTAGCAATTAAAATTTCCATTTCAGTGTAACAAAATTCAATAAAATGTATACGGACTAAATTACATAAGAGCACGTGCGAGTTATTTATATCATGTGTGCATAGCTGAAATAAACTAATCTCACAGCCTACTTGAATTGAATCCAGCAAAAATAATTCGGCACTGAAATGATTAAAAAGAAGGTGAAAGAAAGTAAAGATGAAGTAATAAAAGAACGAAATAAGTCAAAGGGCAAGTAAAAGAAAAGTGAAAGTGAAAACTACAGTTGTACAGCTCACACTCATGAGCGCTTATATGTGCGTGAGCTGTACAGACGTAGTTTTCACATTCACTTTGCTATCTTTGGCTTTTCTTTTACTTGCTTTTGACTTATTTCGGTTATTTAATACTTCCTCTTTACTTTATTTTCACTTGCTTTTTAATTTTCTCTTTATAGAACAGCATAGGAAATTCGACCCACTCTTTTATAACACGAAAAGCAAACAAGAAAGTTTTTGAACTTTCTTTCTAGAAAATAACAAGAAAGTAAAAGTGCCGTCCCTATCACTAGCACCTGATCAAATTGATTATTAATACTTTCATTTTGAAATATAATATGACAAAAAATAAAGATTAGCAAATTGTAAAACAATAATATATTTGTTTAGCTATGATATATCATATAAAATCTACTGTTTTGATTTACTGCCTTTTATAACAAAACTATATCAACAATCGATATGCGTCTTGTTCTTGTGTTTCTCGTTCTTGCTTCGACGATCGAGCTAAATTCTTCTGCATTGACCGTTCTTCAACGACTGTTAGACAAAAACGAGTATAATCTCATATGGAAATATGGTGCTCCTCAAACAGTAAAATGGATTACTATTCATAATACAGCCAATAAAGCAACAGCTATTAATGAAGCTAGTTATCTGAATACTCGCCGTGATAATCAGTACATATCATTTCACTATGTAGTTGATAATGTACATGCTCTGCAGCTTCTACCAGACAACACGTAAGCTCATTATGATTCAGCATGAATAAGAAATGTTTGATTTAATATTTATGTTTTAGTAATGGTTGGCATGCAGGTGATGGCAATGGTGAAGGTAATAAAGCCTCGATTGGTATTGAAATTGCTCAATCAACAAATGATAATATTGCTATTCGTAATGCATCTATTGAAAATGGTGCTCGATTAGCTGCACGATTACTTAAGCGCTTCAATTTTGGTGTTGATCGACTTCGTAAACATCAAGATTGGAGTGGAAAACGTTGTCCACATGATATACTTGATCGTTATGGTTGGACTAATTTTGTTAATTTAGTTCAGCAAAAAATGAATACAGGTGACTATTAAATGATATGAAAATAAAAATTTTCTACGCTAATTATTCAAAATTTTTGCTTATTTGCAAATAAATATAAAGACAACGACTCACGTCAGTGAGTTTTAACAAACTTTAAAAATATTTATCCGTTTTGATATAATACACCGTGACATAACATTTTCAAAAAATCCGTCGGTATAGCGCACATTATACCGATCGATATACCGGCAACAGTTATCACATGGGTAGTATTCTACAAAATGACATGTTATTTCATAGGAAACACTTTAAGTCATATATCATAGTTAATTAGGGTGGGTGTTATTTGTGTATTAGTGTCTTTTCTTCATATAAAGATCAACAGCCACATTAGCACCCGACACCCACTCTTATCCACACACCTCACACTACTAACGCCGAAACTCAGATCCAGAACCATATCCCGTTTCTTTTATGCATACGGATGAGTTTAATTCATCCTATGATATGGGAACACAACCATTAATCAGAATTTGAGACAACCATTAACTTGACCTAAGCGAAACAGAAAAGAATTCATTTTGCACGTAAGTGTCAGTATGGTAATGTCATACACGGAAGTGTCATCCCACGATATGTGACGATAACATCGGATCATATGTTTTCAAGATGTATTCTCTTCTTGTTCTTCTCGTCTTTGTTTTTCCTCGTTCACTCTGTACCACCTAGCCGTTTCTAATGAGAGATCATATATTCATAAAGATGTCTCCAATTATCTTGAATCGAAAGGTATGACAATGATCCTTCAATCACCTAGTTCTTTGGATTTGGCATTATGTTATTTTTGGTTATTTGACTTAATCAAACAAAACCTAAGCGGTCAAAATGATTCGGAAATGTTGCATCATGTTGTAATCAAGTTCGTGAACTCTTTAAATAAAGAAATATATAGAAAAAAGTTCGATAAATAGATTTATCAAATGCAATGGTATGTGGATGACAATGGCAACTATTTCGAACATTGATGAAGTTGTTTCCGTATTTCTTTTTGTTGTGTCGACAGTATTGTTTGTATAGTCTGATGTTATAGACGGTTAGACATTAACAGGAGATGAGAAAAAAAAGGGAGGCAAAGATCAAGAAGAGAATACACTCTGAAGACAAACATGATCTGATGTTATCGTCACATATAATAACAAGTAGCTCTTATTTAAATTTGATTATTATGATATTAGTTTCAAGAAGGATGTAATAGAAGAAAAAAATAGAACGTTGTTTTTACTATTAATCCATATGGTGAGAAAAAATTTCTTTAAGCTTTTCATAAGGAATTAAAGTACCTCCACCACTATTTTTGAGACGACCGAAATATTTGCTTCTGTGCGCAAAGAAAGTAGCACAAGTTAGTACATGATGACATCTTCTAGTAGTTTACTTAATTTTACACTGTAATTTAGGTATCTTGTTACGGAGAATAATTTAGACTTTCTCAAAAATAGAGAATCTTGTAAGAAAAAAAACGATATGTACATTTTTATGAAAATACTGAAAAATGTTGTACACTGAGAAATATTATCATGAACTTTTCGAAGCCTTGCTAGCACTTTATAATCAATATTTTTTTTATCGAAAAATACGTCTTTTGACGCTCTACAAAACTATATCAAATTTGTCTTAGGCTTTTAAAAAGTAACTGCATAACAGAAGCAAGAAGAGTAAAACAAAGCATGTATTGTTTGATTGGTGGCGGCCCCGTGGACACTGTTTAAATAATAAAATGATTTATACTTCATATTGGTATTCATTGTTATCGATTTTTAGAAGTTGAATGATATTTATCTCTCAATTATCGATGTAGGCAAGATGTATTGATACGCATGAATCTGGGAAACAAAGTACAGTTGGATGTCTCTTCGATAGAAAGAGAAAAAATTGTTATTGCATTTGTTTGAACTGTAGCAACCTACGAAGCATAGTTAATAGAATAAGAAGTTTATCAAGGCTTATGAAGAACATAAGAATATTATAAAACAATATTATATATTCTAGATTTCAACAAATGTTTTATTTTATTTTTATTGCTAATATTAATTGAATTTAAAGCTTATCAAACCTGCTATGAGTTCATAAAAATAATTTCTAAATGTTCAAATATTGATTGAAAAAGACTAAAATTGCATTACCCTCATAATACATGATTCCTATACAGACATGAATATTTTGAAATAATGTCAAGTTTAAATTACACCTCCAGAGATTAAACCTTGCTAAATCATGCATTAATACTTATTCGCTTACTTTTCTATATTTAAAATTTTGTAAATCTTATCGATTCAGATATTTATTATTTATTATCACGCCAAAAGATAATTTTCTTTAGAAAATTACTCTATCTGAAGAATGATTGGTAGGTTTTTTTTAATCTTTGCTGGAAGCATGAAAAAAAAAGAGTAAGATATAAAAATAAAGAAATAATAAAAAAAAACCAACATCCTTTAATGTTTCGATTACCAACTTTATTTATAGATTTCTACTAGATCACATCACTCGAAAGTAAAATGAACTCCAGTACACGTATACACGGTAACAATGCATGGGTAAGTTGAATAAAATTTAATTTTTTCGTTTAAAAAGAAATATCCATATCTTAGAAATTAACTTTTTATTACTTACATATTGATACATTTTCTCCTTAGGTGATGACATCAACCGGATTAGTTTATATGATGACACCTGCATTAGCATGTTTTTATGGTGGTTTAGTTGAAAATAAAAATTTTCTTAATCAATTATTTCTATCAATTGTTTGTATGGCAATTATACCTGTTCAATGGTGTCTATTTGGTTATTCATTTGCTTTTGGTCCAGGAAACTCAGTATTTGGCTCATTTGAATATTCTTTACAACGTAAAGCTGCTTTTATTACTGTGTATGGTGAAAATATTGATAATATCGAAACATCTTCAATTTCAACATTTGCACTCGTTGCATATCAATGTTCATTTGCAATTTTAACTCCAGCATTAATTAGTGGTTCTGTTGTTGGACGAATGAAACTTATTCCATATATGATTTTCATTTTTCTTTGGACAACATTATGCTATGATCTTATGGCGAGATGGATTATTTTTCATGGAGGTTGGCTTTATAAAATGGGTGTTGTGGATTTTGCTGGCGGTCTTGTTGTTCACTTATCAAGTGGAATATCAGGAGTAGTTGCTGCTATTATTCTAGGTTCTCGAGCTCATTTTGATCCGGATGACGAAACTACAAGTCAAACTAATCATCCATTTACTATTTTGGGCACAGGTCTACTCTGGGTCGGTTGGATGGGATTCAACGGAGGTTCAGCATTGTCTGCTAATAGTGTGTAACGATAAATTGAATTATCTTTTTTTTTTTTTATTCATTCTTTCAGAATTTTAAATAGAAAAGAAAAGAGTTTAGAATCACTTCAAGAATCTTTTTTTTTCAATATTAGAATATGAGTTATTCTATAATTATAATTTGTGCAAGTCTATAAGGTTTTACCCTCAAAAATCGATCTTGGGTCTAGTGCGTTCAAATCATATGGAATTTTTCAAGAATATGTTGAGGCTGTAGTGAAGAGGCTACGATGAATTTTTCAACCCTATATCATGACTTTTTTAGAAGATATTCAACAAACAAGGGTAAAAAAAAACTCATTTGAAAACTCAAAATTTTCTGTGAGCCTTCATTTTATATACTATTTTTTTTTTGTTTGAAAGAGCATGTCAGGATGCAAGACATTACGAAGTCCGCTTTTAAACTCTTGCTTTTTAAGCGGAGAAGAATGATAAAAAGCAAGCTCTATTTCTCAAAAAACTAACAAAGCTTAATTTGAAAAAGGAACTTTGACATGCTCTTCCGAACTAAAAACAATTTACAGAGAATTCTAGGCTGCGTAATCAAAAAGCATTAAGAGAGAAAAAGTGAAAAAATGTTCCACTTTTCCTGAGAAAAGCATATTTTTCAATAGAAAATGACGGCAATTATTATAAGTTTTTCGAAAAAAAAGAGAAGCCAAATAAAAACCCACATCGTTTATGAAAGATCAGATCTCAAGCTAATTTCATATGCATTTATCTCAATTTTCCTTTTTTGATGGAGAAGTGACCTTAATCCTATCGCGGTGATGTAAGCTACTAGTGGATTACACTATAGTATGGTTCAAAAGCTCATTTAACGCAGAAAAAATTGAATATCTCTGCCATACTTTGACCAAAGAGACTGATTTTTTTATCGATGATAGAGGAATGTTCATAGCTCATATTGATAAGAGAAACATTGATAAACGTTGTGTTGAAGCACTATACTTGCTACAAATAAAGAAATATAACCTTTCACGAATTACGAGAATACAATATTCATGTTGCTGCGAATGGATTAAGAGGACCCCTTCTCTTTCCAGATGTTAAAACAAAAGTTTTTTCGATTTTTAGTTTTTCATTGCTAATATAGCTTCAAAGTATCGTCTATCGAATATCATATAATTGAGAGCTCTTCATTGTTAGTTCGCACTGCTATTAAACTCAACTGTCGAAATAACTAGCAAAAAAACTTGCTCTTCGATTATCCTTCGTATGCAAAATTTCCCTCATAATAACGATTATTTTTCATTTCGGAGGTGCTAAGAGCGTGGATCATAGATCTCTAACATCGTTCAATACGGCCAGTTTTCAATCACTTTAGTTGAAGAAAAAAAAAGTCCTGATACATGCAGGAAAACTTGTTTTTCGTTTTTCTCGGAATCAATTTTTAGGCACAAAAAAAAAATGCAGAATCACCTCCGTTTCTCTAATATAGTAAGTTCGACTGAGCTGAAACCTTTTTTTTTACAGATACTGAGCACTGTTCTTGATACCTACTTTCTTTTTGTTTTGAAAAATATTGCATCGTTGATTTTTGACAGCTTTTACAAAATAAACATGTATTCTCGGAGATATGCTCAAAATTTTGATCTGTTTATTCGAAAGAAAAGAGATGAAAAGAAGCCAAAAAAAGTAGACATCCCCAACAGTGTCTAGTACCTTCAAAAAACAAATTCCAGCTCCACCGTAGGCATTGCGACTGAGAAAGCGTGGTGATTTTTAGGCCTTGCGCCTCAGATATTTTCTAGAAGGAAATATTTGGGAATTTGAAGTCTATGACAATTTTCGCTCAGCTCATCGAGATCTATCTATTCTCAGGGTTTTAAATGTTTCTGATGAGTCATTTTTCAGAAATCCCGGAAAAGAATGAGAAGAGTATTCTTAATAGAAAATTGTTAATTGATGTCCACCATTTCATTATGAGATAAATACAAGTTTTGCTTTCATAGGTTTTGCTTCATTAGCTATTGTTAATACAAATGTGAGTGCTGCATCAAGTATGACTATTTGGATGATTCTTGATATTATAATTGGTAAATCAAGAGGACAAAATTCTAGTATTATTTATCTGCGAGGTCTTTGTTCGGCTGTTGTGGTTGGGCTTGTTGTAATAACACCAGCTGCTGGTTTTGTACAGCCAGGTTATGCACTTTTAATGGGTTTTATTGGTGGTTTTATTGTTTATTTATTTCTTGCTGGTAAAAAAAGATTTTATCGTGTTGATGATACTCTCGATGTATTTAGTTGTCATGGTTTGGGTGGTTTAATAGGAACAATTTTAACTGGATTATTTTGTCAAAAAGATGTAAATAGACATGTAAATAATGGGGCATTTTATGGTAATCCTATACAACTTTGGTATCAATTAATTGGAATCTTGGTCACTTGTTCTTATTCAGCTGTATGTACAGCAGTTATTCTATTATCAATGCATTTTACAATTGGTATTCGTATAGATCGAGAAGATCAAGTTCGTGGTTTAGATAATCTAACACATGGTGTTATTGAACA